GGGGGGGGGGGGAGAGGCGCGAAAAATAAGCGGATTCGCGATAGCCGATTTACGAAAATCGTATAATGAAATTTCAGTTCGCGTGTTAACTTTCACTCGGAAATCCCGCGAGAGATACAACGTGTTTCGCAGATCGAAGATCATCCGCGGCCAGTGGATATTTCGATGCGAATGGACGCGGTCGCGGGAAGACTGTTCCGACAAATAAATAGAATTCCTGCAGGTTCGAATCTCGTGGAGAACGTGAGGCTTGAGCACAATAGACGTGCTGGACGTGTGTTTGGGAAAATTCCGTATGCCGGTACTCACCCATCAGCAGGCCCAAACTCGTCGGTGTTTTCCCGGACTGCGGATCATCCAGCAGATCCCCGGTGCTGTTTTCCGTGAGCACGCGCGCGCGCGCGCATAAATCAGCCGGCGAGAAGCAACACGAGGCGAACACACAAGAAGGATCGATTTGCGGTTAGTAGGTGTATTCGCGCGATTGTCTCGGCGTAACACTATTATCATGTACAGACGTTGACTTACATATCGGTTGCGTGCTCCACCACCAATTCGGCCACGTCGTCGGTCCGCTCGATTATCTGCTGCACCTCCTCGAAGCTCCGATCGATCAGAGACACACCGGACCACTCCAACACCTGCGGACCGTTTCGCGCGCATTATTTCACTGAGCGAGTAGACTTTCTGGGCACGGATGATTACTCGCACGTAGTATGCGAATGTCAAATACAGCTCGCGTAATCATATAGAGAAAGTAAATACAGGAAATAGTGCAACCACCGTCCCTCATTTCAGCTACGCGGTTCATTGATACAATCGCAACGCAGTCGAATCTGTAATCTCTCATTTAGCGAATAAGGGCCAGCAGGAATATTTACAAAAAATATATAGGACGGTATAAAAGCAATTTTTACAACGGTATAAAAGCCTTTCTTTCAACACTGAGGGAAAAAAAATTGTTGATCTTGCAACTGCATGCTGTTACCGTGTATTAATGTGCAACGGCACGCAGATTTAAATAAAATTGTTTTTGGCTTCAACTATATTTTTTAGTTGTTCCAACATGAAAATGGTAGTAGTAACATGCAAGTAGTGTTATTATTTCTAACATTATAGTAGAATTTAATGAAAAATAGTTTTCTTAACCACGATTCGAAGTAATTATTTCTCTATGTAATTACAGTTACAAGTATCAAACTTTTTTCTCAGTGGACGAGAATTATTCTTCATCATCATTTCATCTCGCACTCTCCAAATATCTTGAAGTGGAATCTCACTCGAAGCGAGTGAAAAGTGGCAGTATTTTCGCTCGAAGCGGTAGTGATTCCACTCCAAGTCGCGAGGATAAATCTTTCACTCAGATTTGAAATGGATTCTGACTCCATATGAATGAATGTTTCGATGAATATGCTGCTGTGACATCAGGATCACGTTTCAATTTCGAGTGAAGATATTTGCTCGACACGATTCAGAATAAAGAATTCATTCCGATGAATGAGAAATCACTCGAGTGATTCGATGGTCGCTTTATTTTTTGAGTAAAATTTCACTTGAAGAAATTTAAAAGTCATAAATGATCGGTACATACGTTCTCGTGAAAAATGTGTAGCATTATCTTACGTATTCAATTCACGTTGTCACTTTAACTTACGCGCGCGCACGATTATTGCATATTTTATATTCTTATACGCGCATATATCGCGCGATATCTTTACTGCCATTCGGCACGAGCTGCGTAAGAGCGCGCGGGGTATCTCGAGATCGCAATTTTCGGACGCGACGACCCCAAGACGCCCCGGGATATCGCGGAATGATTCATCTCGCGGGGGGAAAGGGAGCAAGCACAGCGGCACAGGAATTCTCCCGGGGATTCTAGATGCCGAGGTCGGCGACGGCGACGGCGGCGGCGGCGGTGAAATTAATGTCAAGACGCGTCGAGGCGAGGGAGGCAACGGCACACCGGATTGCAATCGGTCGTAAAGTACCGGTCCCGTCGGCTCTTTAAGTACTTTAATTACTTTAATTACTCGAGCTGATTGCCGGTGGGGAAACGAAGGCGACGAGGCCGCCCGAGGGCCGACGAGGGAGGAGGGGAAGGGGTAAGCTGGCAAACTTTCGGACGAGGGGAATTCGTCGTGCTAATCCTCGAGACCAGGCCTCAGCCAAGGAGACATACCTCAGGATTAAGGTGCCTTCTCCGTCTGTTTTAGCTCGACGGATACGTGCTATTTATCGCGCGCACGGGCGCGTTCACGCGTTCGCGAAACGTGGGAAAGCGTGAAAAATTGGGATTAAACAGCGATTAAACGTACAGCTCGCGTCTCTAAGCCGGGCAGAGACACGCGAGATTGAATCGCGTTTGATGAATTCGGCTCTTGAATGATTTTCAGGCATTCGGACTGATTAAGCGCGTTTAACCACCACTTCCCGCGCACACACAGTCATTTGCGCGTCACGTTTCTCGCATTACCGAATTGTGCGTTTCAATTTACTTTACGCTCGACAAGGTGTCAATTAACGGGAATCGAATTAAATGTCCGACTAGATGGGCGCAGGTGAGGGCGGTGTATCGTTGATTATTCCGATAAGGTGGAAAATACTCGGCGAGGAGTTTCACGTTCTCTCGCGTTTTCTTGCGATAAGAATCAATGCAGCAAAATAAGTATACGTGCGCGCGATTGATTCAAGCGTCGGGCTTACAAAACTTGCCTCCGCCATAATTTCGTTTGAATTATCATTTATTGAACGTGAAATCTGAAAATGTGTATTCACCGCAGCGCTGTATAACTGCGTTCAGGCGCAGAGATCCTTGGAACATGTTATGCGATCCCTATTAATTACGCCATTCGAGCGGCTTTCAATTAAACCACGAAACCAAAGCCACAACGAATGTAAATAGCTGTATCGGCGTGAAGAAAAATGAGGTGCACGATCGATACGCCCGCGGCTATTATTTATTTTTCTTCCGTTCAAGTGTGTGTGCGCGTGCTAAATACGTGAGTGCAAAATATGGAATTACAGGCGACCCAACCGAGTCGACGTCCTCGTCGTGTTGAGGAAGCGTCTTCGGCAAAAGGAAAGGTAAAAGACGGCACGCGGGAAATCTGGCAAGAAATGTAATTTCGAATTCCACGGTACTTGATGAAACGTAAAAGTAGCACAGTAATCGCGTCGGAGTAGATCCTCCGGCGTTCGAGTTTTTCTTCTTGGATTAAGGAATGCCCACGATGAGAAACTTTGCATCTACGCGGAAATGTTTATTCGAGCGCGAGGTGGAAAGGTGTTTTCAACTTTCCGCAGATGTTGTCGAACGGCGTTTCTTGTGTGCCTCCTTCTCTGTCTTTCTTTCTCTCTCATCTTTCGCAGACTTCCGGCTAAAAAAGGAGATTGCATAAGGGATGGGAGAGGCGATTTCGCGTGAGCCGTATGATAATGCAGAATTTTCCCTTTATTCGATTCTTTTTGTATTGCCACAAAAGAAACTCTTCGTCCCTTGTTTGCAGAAGATCTCGAAGTAGCTCCCATCTTCACTGTCCATTTCTCGATAGAATGTTCAAGGCATTTCTTATATTTGTTAGACTCTCACAAGTCTTAGTCCACAATAGGTGTTATAAGCTTTTAATTTTTTATCCCCCCTAAGGCCAAAACTATAACATAATTTCCTAGCAAAAGTTGTTTCTTGCGATGCCAGAAGTCGTAATAATGCTTAAAATTAGGGATTACAAACTAGTAGTGCGAGGAGCGCCATTTGCCAGGAAATTAGTTATAATCTTGGTTTAAGTCCAAGGTTAAAAAAACCTTACTGTACCTATTGTGGACTAACTTGTACCGGGACTAATTTGGGCCAATAAAATGGGAGCCATAATTATCAATTATGGCCCTCAGTTACAGATCAAACTTGATTTATTATTATATTGAAAGAATAAACATTATAACTAAATTATGAGTAGATTTATAAAGTTACATTCACAAATATTTGTTAATATTTAAGAAAGAATCTACAATATCACAATATTGTATTACATGCATTATAGATTGAACTCCAATCGTGCGTCATTATTCAATATATAAAATAATGTGAATATATGGACATTATATGAAATTGGATATCGTATAATATAACCTCTTATAGAGACGCGAAATATTTACTGACCTATAATTGCGATCTATGCACAAACGTTTCTGATTATTTTATTTTGAATTTAGAATTAATTGATTTGAAGTCTAATAATTTTGCTTCAAAGTTATGACGTTTGTTGGTGCTTATATTATAAGAGTTACTTTGAATGTTTGTTCGACGAATTTGTGTAAATGAGTGAAAGTTACTCTAACTTTAAATGACCCATAATTAGTATTGTTATCTTAAGAAATACATAGTCGTGTTTCGTCATTTCAGCTTCGTAAATTCCTTCAGTGAGATTCAGGGTTTCGTTTTCTATCTCTTCGAATCTCCCCGAAATCTCTCCTGATAACGGAATCAGTTACTCTTCCGGTCTCCGTGTATCCCGTAGCCATTTTTCACGTTTCGATCGTCGGGTCCCGCTTTAGCCGCGATCCAAAGCGAGTCACGCACACGCGTTCCACGCTATTACGCGCGCACAATTTTCTATCTCGGTGCTCCAGGACGAGCTTTTCAACTTCCACGTCACATTGTGCGTATCCGCGTAGTGGTTTCTTTTTCCTCTCTGTCGCTGCCCGGCGACCGAGTCCTTGTAAAGGGAAGACCGTGGCTGCCGATAACCGGATGCAGGAAATGACGCGTACGAAAGCGATCAGCCATCGGTCGCCGTTGCCTGATCCTCGTTTCATCGCACGATATATCGTAGCGCGATCAACCAGAAAATAAATCCAATGTGCATTCGTGGTTAGGGCGAAAGATATTCACGGAACTTTGGCGGCGACACACAATGGCCGCACTGTGAAGTTTAACTAGAAATGCGTCGCGCGGTTTTTTAAAAGCCGATCGATCTTCGCCGAGAGCTATCCGGGCGAAAATTCGCACATCTCGACACGGAGTGTGTGGGATGCGGGATGACCAGTTTTGGTCGATATACCAAGCGGAAAAAAAGTGACGCTGTTAAATTATAAAACAGTCGCGCTCTTGCACCCGACAATCGTCACGCATTCATTCCTATCGCAGTGGCTATCATCACGACGTGACTGAGCAAAGTTACTGAGCGAATTCGCGTATAGTATTCGCGCGGTTACTTACACCGCGTCTTAACAGATATTGAATTGTTCTTCATTAAAATTAACAAACGCCCCAAGAGACTTCTCCGTCGCGTTGCTCTCCGGAGAGTTATTATTACGCCAGAAGGAGATATTGTATTTCGCGTAATGTCGAAGAACGATCTCTGCGACGGAGCAGAGATATAATCGAATATAATCATTCGAGGTGTGTAAACAGGCTCTGATGAAATTTAACTAAAGTGAGAGAAATGGGGCCTCTAAGAACCATTCGCGGTTGTCTGTTGCGAAATTGAATTTATAATGTAAAAGGATGATAATAATCTGTCGGCTGAGGCAATATTTTTCGCAACATTCAAATTGAATAAAAATGCATAATCACATGGGGGAATGGGTATTAATAATAACTAGCTGAAACTACTCAGCGTTGCCTAGATTATTACAAAATGTC